TAACAAAACCCTTGAAACGTTGTTCCATCATCATCATCATCATAATCCGAGGGGTGCGAATCCGCATCGTATTCTAACGGATCATCATCATCATGAGCTCCAAACCAAAGCTCCGTAGTCTAAGCGCTTGGGGAAGGAAAAATTCCTTGCAAAGAGTCTGAATATAATTCTAGGTCCGTGGGTCCGAAGAGCACATAACCACCATTCTCATGGATATGACGATAATGACGTTCCAAAGGACCACTAATTTTAGCATGATCTTTTTCACACAAGGTAGAACTATGTCCGACTAAACCACACTTTCTACAAAATCTAAAGATCCCTTCATATTTAAATTTCACCCACGTGACATGATTGTCAAATGTGGAAAAATAACAACCAGCAATCAAAGGTAACGACAAACAAACTAATATTTTAAAAGGGCAAAGTATAGGAAACTGACCATTAGATTCATCAAAGTTCGTTACATCACCCACATGAGCTAATACAACCGCCGCAACTTAAGGAGTAGAATATCGTAAAGGTAGACCCACCACGCCCACCCACAACTCAGCAAGATGAAGATTAAGATTCATTGGTACTGCATGTTCCCGAAGGCGCTGTAACACGACCAAAATTCCTTTAAAATGGACCCACCCTCTCTCATCTAATTCATCGCCATCCTCAGAAGTTTCACAACTAAATATTAGATCTTTACCATATTGAAAACCGTCACTGGGGCACAAAGATGCCAAAATTGGGCTAGTAGCCGCTGATAAAGAGATAAAGAAAAGTCCTATCATCCCACACACGTCCAATAACACAACTTTCCCAATTAATAGGTGCTTCATCTTCTAGGACTGGGAGAGGTTGAAAGTTTTTCCCCATATAGTGAGGGTATACAAAGGTATTAGGATGAAGATAATGAGACATCTTGAAGGTAACTAGAGAAACCGAGAGAGACAGAGGAATTTTTAAATTTTAACTTTAAACTTTGAAAAGGAAAGAGTACTAGAGTGAGAAAGTAGAGAGAAGTTGGGCAATTTAGTGCTCTATTTATTGTTATGTCACAATCCACCCTCCCATCATCAATGATTAGGGTATTTATAGGGGTAGGAATTTGTGCCCCTTAGAATAAGTGACCTAGAGATATGTGCTCTGATTCGCTGCGCAATTAGTGTAGGGCACGTGTCCCTCTAGGGCCCCGTTTTGCGGCTTTCAAGGGTAGTTGGGCCTTATGATGTAAGGAGGCCTTTACTCTCTTTATTTTTTAGGTGCTCTCATGCTCTTCATACGTGTCATAATCTTCCTATAGTGACACGTGTCACCTCTTTATTGGGCCACGTGTCACCATAGGATTGGACCACGTATTTGGGGTAATTTTTACCCTAAACAGTGTACATTCTTTAATTTGAACACAAATTTTTATATATGGTTGGCCACACCATGTGGCCGGTGTTACTCAAGTGACTCGGTTAGGGGTTACTCGAGTTACTCGGTCAGAAGTTACTTGAGGGGTTCGATCAGGGGTTACTCAGTCAGAAGTTACTTGAGGGGTTCGATTAGGGGTTACTCAATCAAGGGTTACTTGAAGGGATGGTCAGGGGTTACTCGTTTAGGGGGTTACTCGAGGGGTTACTCGGTCATGGGTTACCTGAGGGGTTACTCGATCAGGGGTTACTCGTGGGAATATTCAATTAGAGGTTACTTGAGGGGTTACTCGGTTAGGACTAACTCGAGTCACCCCTGACCGAGTAACCCCAGCCACACGTTGAAGCCAGTCACATAGAAAATCCCCCAAACATTCCTTTTTATAGTGTGTTATTACTATTGTGATATTTCTATTTTAGGATAGTGTTACAACAATGAATTAAAGATGATAACATTTTCATTTATAAAGTGATAAACTTAAATCTATTAGACTTTCAATTGATACTTTAAGAAAGAGGATACACTAATTAAATAACATTAAATAAAAATGTTATGACTTAGAAATGTTTAGGTCATTAATTACCTGGAGTACAAATATATAAATATGGAAGCGTGTTATATAATGTAAGTAAGCTACATAATTTTCTTTTCATTTTTAAAACAAATATTCAACCACCTTATATAAAGTAAGGAAATTACATAAATTTTATTATATATAGGTCATGTCTATTGTCTAGTATTAATTTGTTTCTCCTATTTAGTTAGAATAGTGACATTATTATTATTATTATTATTATTATTATTATTATTGGATTTTTGAAAATAACACCACAAAAAAATCCAAAATTGATTTCACCACCTTCTAACTGAATTTTGGATGAAATTCGTTAGTGGGACCCAAGATAGACACGTGGCAATAAGACATTGGTTTAAAAAATAAAGGTAAAAAAAAAAAAAAAAAAAAAAGAAAAACACTCTATAACCCTAACCCAGCCACTAGCCCACCACCGGCGGCCGCGACTCCACAGTCGGAGACTCATACTGACGCCGACAACCCTTCCTTCACCGGCAAATCACCGCCCATCATCCCCACCACCACGGCCCCCCTCCCCCGCGCAAATCCCACCAATCAGTTCGTGCAAACCCTTACCACGAACCACCGAAAACCACCCATGTCGTCGCCTCACCGCAAAATCGACCTAGCTAGGGCTTCGAAAGTGGTTTTCGACTGGTTTGAAGGTGAAGCGGAAGTACAGGGGTGGTTTTTCGAGGAGGAATCGAAGTGGCTGGGAGGTTTTGGCTGGGTAGGGTTAGGTTTCGGCTGACGGTGGTTCGGCGACGATGTGGGTTGGGGTTTCGGCTAGTTTAGGTTGGGGTTTCGATGGTGTGGTGACAGTATCGGAGGTTTTGGGGCGGGTATGGTGACGACGGTGGTTCAGCGACGGTCTCGGAGCTTCGGGGGTTAGGTTTGGGTGACGGTGGTGGGAACCATCGGCGGTGGTGGCTGGTTTAGCAATTTAGGATTTTTCTTTTTTTAAATTTTTTTAAATCCAATAAATGAGTGATGTGTCAAAAGTGAGCCCCACTAACGGATTCTTGGATGTGTAGTAGTAGTACAGTAGCAGCAGCAGCAGCAGCAGCAGTAGTAGTAGTAGTAGTAGCCAGCAGTAGCAGCAGCAGCAGCAGTAGCAGTAGCAGCAGCAGCAGAGCAGTAGCAGCAGCAGCAGAGCAGCGCAGCAGTGCTTTCGATGAGCCGCAAAAGCCACAACCCGTCCTAGAATTAAACATCATCATCATCATCATCATCATCATCATGGACTCAATTATATCACAATATAAAATTCATCATGATTAAACATTCAATTTTTATTCATTCTCAAAAATATGAAACATAATTTAAAATAGGATAAATTCTGTTAATTACAATATTAAACTAATTATAGGATAATAACTAACATATTTTTTTTTGAATGGAAAACAACTAATATATAAAACAGGGATAATTTTGGTTATTATAAAATAAATTATAAGATTATAACTAATATTTAATAATAGGATAAATTTTGGTAATTATAATAATTGATATACCTTTCGTCAATAAACCATTATGATATATGTTTGAAAGTGTTAAATATATTGTATGCTAAACATATATTGTATATATCTTTGTAAATGTGAATTAGTTAGGTGTATTATTTTCCTTCCTAGTTTATAGCCTATGACTTGAATAATTGTAAATTAGTTGACTGTAGATATTCTTTCCTAGTTTATACCTTTCACCCCCTTGTTGTAGATTTGTAGCCATCAATGCTATGGTTTAGTATATAATTATGAGGTCACGCCCAACGTATACATAGGTAAATGCCTTAAATATAAACAGAGCATATAATTCTTATATGCAATGACCAAAAGTAGTTTAGGTCACTACCTAATCCACGAACAAGTTTGCGAAAAATTAATTAATTTGTGCCGATCAAACTGATGGGACTCGAAAAAAAAAAAAAATAGTCGTCTTCTCAATTATACAATTGGAAGAACGCCAATCATTCAACCTAAATCACTATGTCGCCGACCACTATGATATGCAAAACACCTATCAATATAATTCTTCTTTAACAAATACTTAAAAATGAGATTGTTGTTGAGATTTTTTAATGAACAGAACCTAAAAAACAAAACTAAAAAAAGCGAAACTCTACAAAACAATTCATTTATGAGTTTTAATGAGGATTTTAGGCCGGATTTGAGTATACTTTCACAAATAACAATGATTTTGGGAATAGGTTGTTAATCTATGACATGAATGAAGAACATTGTTGAACATGAATGAAGAACATTATTGAAAAATGATGAATTTTTTATTTTCTAAATTTTAATTTAATTTAATTTTTCGAAAATGATCTTAAAAAGATAAAAATTAAATTTAAAAAACTATAATTACGTATTGTTAAAAAAAATTACATGTATAATACATTTAGGCTTTTAAATAAATAAAAATAATTGACCATTTATAATCTGACACATCATCATCTTATGATGTAAAAAATCCCAATATTATACGACTCCATTCGCATGCAAGTTTATTTTATAATACGGAGTAAGAAATGGAGTACATAATTACACTGTCCTTTTCAATTTTCACATCCATAAATCACTCGGATATAATTCCAACTTCCACGTAACAACACTAACAACAATTAATACAAATCATATATTTATATAGGAAATTTTGTGAAAAACTGCCTATTATAATCTAGAATTTACGAGAAACTACCTATTAAAAAGAATGTTGTAATTGACTACCTAATTTTTTTAAAATGTTGTAATTTACTACCTTTATGCCGGATTATGAATGAGTTTGACCAAAATTCTCCGGCATTGACTTGGTCACGTGACACTTGGTGAAAGAAAAGGGTCATTAAGTGTCACGTGATGGTCAAGTGACCAAGTCAACATCGGAGAACTTTGGTCAAACTCATTCATAATCCGGCGTAAGGTAGTAAATTACAACATTTTTCGAAAATTAGGTAGTCAATTACAACATTTTTTTAATAGGTAGTTTCTCGCAAATTCTGAACTATAATAGGTAGTTTTTCACAAAATTTCCATTTATATATAGTACGTACAAGTGTAATTAAAACCAGAATTATGAAATAAACTGATGATATTAACAATAATCTAATTGATAACGCGACAGTTCTTTCTAATCTCTCCTTTAGTACCAGTAAGAAGCTTAATGTTCCCCATCTTGATCATCGCTGCAACAAAATCTTGAAAGAAAACAGCTTGATTAGTACTATACTTCTTCACCAAGGAATCTTGAGAACCACCATTGTAAAGCTCTTGATCCGAATGTAATAGACCGCGTTTTTGAACAAGGTTTTGAAAATAATCGTTGTCGAATTTGTTTGGTGTTTGACGATCAAGAGGGGCTAAGTTGAAGTCTCCATTCCCAGCTTGTTTAGGGCAGTTGGCTTGGCGAGTGGCTGCAAAGGTGGGATCTATGTCGGTGTCGTTGTAAATGTGGGGTCGGAAGTTGATGCAACGAGCGAGGCCGATGGTGTGGCCGCCGGAGAGGGCGGTCATTTCGTTGATGTTTAAGTTTTGTCTTGCAAAGAGGGAAGTGAGGTTAGCAAGGCTTGAACGTGGGGGTGGAAGGTTTTGGTTTGCCAAGCTTAGGCTTGCTGTTCTTGCATCTCTTCTACCTAGTGGTACTTTCCATGTGGGCCCTCCTAACTACAAATGTGAGAACATATAGTTAGGTACATCAAGTGGTAGGATCTTAAAAAATAATAAATTTTGATAAGAACAAATTGAGGTGTTTAAATTGAATAACTAGTTTTGGTGGGATAAATAGACAATGTACGTCTTGAGTTATTGTATTCAACTTCATTTTTCATTTTCAATTGTCATTAATATGGTTCTGAAATAATACAATGCAATGTACTTCAACTTAGATAAGCAAATGGGATTATTATCAAACTTGTGGTTGCAATGGGTTCATATTGTATACCAACCATGCATGTTTATAAGGGATGACATAAACGTTAACACTTAGATGAATTAAAGATGATGGAATGAGCGACGTGACAAGATTAATGCAATTTGAAACGCTTTTTAATACGGATTATTTCCTTTGTTTCTTTATAATTGCAACACTTTCCTATAATGAAAATATTATAATAGTTGCAACACACATAAATGGAAGATTTTTATGGTGAAAATTGTACTATTATCTTTATTTAAAGCTCATGGCCACTTGATTATACCTCTAACAACCTCTTAACCCCTTTTTAAGTGTATTATATCATGTGAGATCTATTTGTCTTAAATACCATATCAATAAAGTGTATGTTGCAACTATAAAGAAACGGAGAAAGTATATATATTATTATATACCAGACTGTATATATTATTATAGATTATAGATTTATTCACATTTTTGTTACAGATGCTAGCTAAAACATTGCATGTATTTTTCAATTTTCCTATGCTTGGAAAATAGGGAGGAAGTAAGCAATATGGCTTATTTTAATGTTTTTCTTTTTGTTCTTAAACAATGAATGAAGCTCAAGTGATAGGGAGTAGTAATACAAACTAATTAATCTTTAGATTTATGTGCACAATGAAATCTATAATCCAAAGTATTTTTATGAGTTTTATGTGCTTACCAATCTAACTCCGTCTCGTGATGCAAGAGCTAGAATGTCTGCACACGATACAGTTTGGGGGCAAGCAGCTTCAAGATTACACTTGATTGCATCAATCACTTCAAAACCCCTTATTGAGTTGTTTGCATTTGCTTTAGCAGTTTTCTCCCCTGTAAATGTTGGTGTATCATCTAGGAGTACAGATGCATCACAACCCTAATGTTACCGGAAATGAATGAAAAAAACATGAATGAGTTAGTCTAATAGATGAACAATATAGTGTATATATTGATTCCAGTCTATTTTAATTGATCCTTTAGCGTAAATATAAAACGGCCATATATACTTTCTTTGTTCACAATTACTACTCAGCGTACATTTCTTTTATAATTTCTAATAACTAAATTAATCACATGATTTATTTGGATGAACCTTTATATTCATTATGAGATAAAATTAGGTCAAAGACTTTTATGTATGTACTTCTATTAATCTATTATTATTTAGGGGTGTGACAAAAAAGATGTGATTTTTCCTAAAAAGTATGGATCATATTTAATTAACCATTGTGCCAATATTAAAAATAAATTAGATCATTTATTAATATATATATATATATATATATATATATATATGCTTCTATCAAAGTTGTATATTATCCATTGGTTAGGGTTGTCTCTCATGATATTAATGAATGCGATCAAACCTCACTATGCAACCGGTCTCTAACCCTAGGTAAAGCATTTTTTTTTTCCTTGACAATAGATCATGTAACGTTAGTATTATATACGAAGTATATATATTTTTTAATTCTTCATTTTCTCACTCAGTTTTTTTTTATGTAGATAACATCCATCATTTTCTCTAAACCTTCTATATAATTGTCTAGGGACCCATAATTGTCCAAACTAATCATCATCCTCCCAACCATTTTCTTTCTAGAAAAATGCAACAATATTACAATCAATAATGACATTACAAGGAAATAACGAAATTCTCCCATCTTTGCATAATAATTTTTCATACGTCGTAGTATATTGTTTAATAATGTACATAGAACATGGTATTGCAATAAAAAAAATAAAAAAAAATAAATAAAAAAAAACTTAAATAAATAATAAGGTTATAGATTCGAAAATACTTACGTTGACAAAGCAATCATGGAAGAACAAGCGAAGAATAGATGCACCCATACGTGGTTCCTTACTAACGGCTTGCTTCATAGTATTGTACACAATTTGTTCAACATTAGGGCAACTAGAGGCATAAAAGTCTGGCTGCATAAGCCAAGCATTAGAAGCACCCATAAAAAGTGATGTTAGAGAAAAGATTACCAAAAAACATATCAATTTGGAAGCCATAATTAACTTGCTTCTAGCTTGCTAATTATGGCAAAGCGAAAGTAGAGTTGATGAATATATTATATGCTTTGAGTTTCATATATATATATACACACTAGACTTACTAGTAACCAATTGGAGTATAAAATGGAAGACACCGCATGTAAGGGAGTAATTAGGATTAGTTGCAAATTAAATGGGGGTAGACATTTCAAATCTAGCCCCAGAACACGTACACCCTGCCAGTCCATTTCAGAATATCATTTCTATAATTATTACTCTTTCATTCCCTTCTTCAAACTTAAACAAAAATATTCACTTCATACTCTTGGGTACGATGTATGTATAGTAAATGATTGAGTAATAATCACTCTTGCTCATAGATCGTATGTATTTTCTTCAAGCCAATCTTACCCAAAGGAATCGATAGAGTAATAAAATCAATCATGGAGATTGGGGATTTAACCATCAGATTATGTTTTTGGCTGAGTTGTTCCTTTTATATGGAATCAAGAATCTGATCCTAGGTATAAGGAGCCCTGTGTTCATTGCATCAACATTTCAAGTCCAAATGATCTTATGTGACGGAGCATGATAGAGTATAAAATCACCAATCATGAGATCTCTAATCATCAGCTTATTACATACCCAAAGATAAAAAAAAAAAAAAAAAAAAAAAAAAAAACCCAAAAATTGATTGAAAATCCCTTTAGGAACCCAATTAACCCAGCCTAAGCCTTTTAGGACAAACCAACTTAGTTGGACCTTAGGATTAGTTAGCCTAATTAAAGACTCAGGGTCTGTTCATTTCAACTTAATTTCAATTCAGTTCAGTTAAGTTCAGATCCAATCAATTCGGTTCGGTTCAGTTTATTTTAGTTCAGCTCCTAATTTCCTTCTCTCATAAAATATTCATTTCAACTCTATTCAGTTTTGTTCAGTTCAATTCAGTTCAGCTCACTTGAGTAAATGTGAACATAACATGCTCTTAAATTGCCTAAGCAAAACCCTTGCTAATAGAGTAATTAAATTAATCCATATTATAAAGTCATTGCACACCCATCTGGATTTGCAATCTTACGTCCTTAGAGGTGTCAAAAATCAAAAACTTATGCGACAAACCTGATCCGATCTGACACGAAAAAGTGCTTTGGAGCCTGCAACTTGTGAGTAGTTTGATTTGCAATAGGTTGCAATGCGTTTCATTTGTTTTAATATTACTCCCTCTGTATTATTATAAATTTTGACGGTTCTAGTCATATCACCAAATCAAAAGTAATTCTTAAGTCCTCTACCTAAAATAGATAGGGAAGTAGGGTCGAATCCACGTGAAAGCAATGTATTTCTACTCCTAAAGAATTGATATGGTCTAAATTATCAAGTAACAAATATAATTTTATGAGAATTAAACTAAGGGAAATAAATAAACTAACGTGAATAAGAATAATAGGAATAACAATAAATCAAAGCCTAGGGTATAGGTTCACCAATAATACTCAGGGGTATGTAAAGCATAAAAATCAATGCATCAATTAATAAGATCATAAAAGACTTTGCTACGTATTACAATCACAGAGTAAATCTAGCGGTATTAAATCGCATCTCTCAAATCTTGACTTAACCATTTATAAATTAATCTGCCTATTGAAACTAAGCCTAAACATCAATTCTCATTTGCCGAATCTCAAATCAATATTGCATAACTTAAACAGTGAAACCATGCCTAATCTAATTGAATAGCATTAAATCAATCAATAGGAAATTAACTAAAGCATTAACAATCATCAATAATAAATCACCCCCTAACCGTAGAAATAAACTACTCACACATATTGAAATCTAACCTAAGAAAACAATTAAACAAGACATAACTAATCAAAGTATTTAAATTACGAGAAATAAAAAGAAGAAAATCGTTACCAAAATAAATGGAATTAATAAATTGCATAAACCAAAGAGTGTTGAGAGAACAAAATACTAATGTAAGCTTAAAACTAAAATTTGGAATTTTTAACTAATGGAAGATGTAATAGTTTCGCTTGACAAAAGCGTATTTATATTAAAGCTAAGAAACCTAAACTAAGACTATGATTAGTCATCTCTAAACGCCCTCAAAAACACGCGCCCGGTAGGAAGCATGACTGGTCGACCAGGCCGATAAGCCTCATGGTGCTCCTTCAATCTCTTTCGCCCGGTAGGACACGCCCTTCAGAAGAGATGTTGCTGCTCTTTCTCTTCCTCGCGCGGTCGGGCGCGCCTCAAGGCGAGAAACTTGTCGATCGGGCAAGTCCATCAGGTAACATTGGATTCCTCGTTTGGGATCCTTTACTCGGCCCAATCCAAATATTTTCTTCTATGAAGCAAGTCCAATGCCTCAGCTTCTTCTTCTTCGCAAGCCCTTAATTACAGTTCTTAATTACTCTGACACGATCTTGGGCTATGCAATATGGTCATATCAATGCGATCCAAATTCAATGCTCATAGTGGCTCAACTAACTCCGGGGAAATACTCCAAATCTGCAATTTCCTACAAAGCAATACCAAAATCTACGAAAACACTAGAAAATGCATATTGGTAATAAAAATAGATCCGTAGAGCCAAAAATACTCCTAAATATGACCAAGGGACGAGATAAATCACTATATAAAATGGACATATATCCCAAGCCAGATCTTTGCTTGACTGGCACACATATCAATGCACAATTTTGACCAATTAATTTAATTTGTAATTACTACCTCTATTAAATATTAGTTGCAACTATATATCTCAAATATTACCCCAAATTTGCAACTAATACTTAACGGATGTAGTATATTTTCATTAGATTGTATAAAAGGTTAGGGCCTGTTCTCATTGACTGAACTCAGCTGAACTGAACTGAACTGAACTGAACTGAATATTTTATAAGAGAAGGAAATTAGGAGCTGAGCTGAACTGAGCTGAAATGAACTGAACTGAACTGAATTGAGCTAAACTGAACTGAGCTGAACTGAACTGAATTGAACTGAATTTCAACGTAAGAGAAAAGGCCCTTAATACAATGAAAATATACTTAAATACACTAATCCAAAAATATTTTACATGGCCATATATGTTTAGTATACATATAATGGTAAAAAATTATCGTCAAAATAAACATATAAATAGTGAAAAAGTCAAAGTATTACGATTATGACAAAATAAGGGAAAACCTTTGTCAAATAAAAAAAAAGAACATTTATAAACAAATAATATATATATTGATTAATAAAAAGAGTGGGGGACATAAGTAATTCACAAAATTTTATATGTGGCACCGTATGGCCTACCATCATGTGGTTACTTCATTAGTGTTATAGGGATTATTCGATCATTGTTACAGAGGTTACTTCGTCGGTGTTAGTTATAAGGGTTACTTAATAACGTTATAAGGGTTACTCAGTCGTATGTGTTAGTTGATCAATGTTAAGGACATGTTCACATTTACTGAACTGAGCTGAACTGAACTGATTGGAGCTGAACTGAACTTAACTGTACTAAGCTGAAATGAATATTTTTATGAGAGAGGGAATTATGAGCTGAATTTAACAGATTGGAGCTGAACTGAACTGAACTGATTGGAGCAGAGCTGAACTGAACTGAACTGAAATTAAATAAATGTGAACAGGGCCTAAGAGTTACTTTGTTCATTTACAAGCGATCATGTGGTGTGATGAACGCACTCAAAACACGCTATAATTAATTATATCGTATATGATAAATTATCTTGTCAATATAGATGAATTATATATTTATATTTCCAATTTCAATAAACACACTCCCACAAGTTTTAATTATGTTATATCCTTTTTTGTTTTTTTTTTCCATGGCACCAATGCCTACAATTAATCATAATATCTAAAAATATTTATCATAAAAAGTCATATAGAAATTAAAAATGATCTCACATAGTATTTTTATATACACGCATTGCTAGTAATACAAACTTTTATATGTAGTTGGTCACATCGTGTGGCCAATAATTATGGGGTTGGGGTTACTTTGTTAGTGTTATAGGGGTTACTCACTCGGTGTGGAGTTACTAAGTCGGTTAGGGATTACTTGGTTGATCAGTGGTTACTCGGTCGAGGGTTACTCACTCGGTCCGGAGTTACTCGGTCAAGGGTAATTTGGTCAGTTAGGAGTTATTCGGTCAATCAAGTGTTACGCCCCAGTCGATTAGGGGTTACTTGGTGTGTGTCAGCTGGCCCACGGTCGCCAGTCGCTATTAAATAATTCTAATCTTGATTAAATCTTACCTATTGGCAATAGTCAACAAATGGAACTAATCATAATGTTATGAATAACAACCCACAAGAACAATTGTTGTAAGCCTGCTGGAACTTGTGTCACAATGGTTTAAGTACTTTGCAATACGAGTATTTTTTGAGTAAAGGTTAAAGGTTAAAATCTTGACCCTGTGTACTTTTTGGTTTAAGAATCGCTAATACTTTAAAGTACAAGTATCTTATTGATAAATTATAGGATTACAACTTATGTAGCTCTTAAATGAACCCTTTCTCCAAGGGGCTCTTAAGCTTGTGTAAGTGATAACCAAGTCATATGAGGTAAAGGCTACACATACAATTGTTGTATGTGGTCCCTACATACAACTCTAATTTGTCATGTTTTGATTGGCTAGAACAATGGACCCAAGTTCCATTATATTCAATATATATTTGACTTCTAATTTTCTCCCTTTTTCTAATGATGTGTCAAAATTTTAATGGTGTTGTATGTAGGGACAACCTACAATGGTTGTATGTATATCAGCTCTCGTCATATGATCATATGAATTAAATTAATTTTTGCAACAAAGTATGTAATTACCTACTTTCTCCCCTTTTTCACGGTATTTAAGAAAAGTGAGTCACATGTGATTTAGAACACTTAAAAAGGAGGAGAGAGATTGTTAAGAGGATAATTTAGTGGGCTATGAGATTATAATAAGGGTTATAGTACAACTTTTGACATAAAATATTTTCCCATTATAGTGTGTTGCAACTATTGTGACATTTCCCTTTTAGCTAGGTGAGATGATTGTCAATCTTTATCTCCACTATTCAAGC